CACTGGTTTTAACGCTTGGACTTTCAGATTTCCCTAGTGATTGTTGTATTACTGTTGACTGGTCAAAGGAAAAAGGCAAGAGCAAACTGTGCTGCTCTCTGGCAGAGGTGTCAGTCTGCAACTTTTCCATTCTCTCTGGATTGGGATACGGAGGTGCAGGCTGTTCCTTTGGTACAGAGGTTCCAAACAGTTCCTCCAAAGTCAGATGCTTCTGCCTTGACTGAAATGGCTAGAAAGAAGGGAAAAGGAAGTTTTCAGTTTAGAAACATACACACCACTGTGCATCTCTCACAGTGTATTACAATTTCAAGAGAACTATGAAAGACAACTAGTTGAAATGCATCTAAAATACAGTTTGGATATCAAGTGTGCCTTATTTACAGGAATTTTGAAATCAATTTCATTTACAAGGAACATCCTGTCAACATAAGCTGTTTCTCTATAGCCTTCTATGGACAGACTGTGCACTAGTGGTAAAGAAGGGGGAAGGCTATGGATTACATATGGATATGTAATTAAGATGGCACCTGCCATCATCGATCAGCCCTAATGACACAAGGCACTTCAGGGGGCAGGGAACCACCAAAAAAAACCAACCAACAAACCCCAAACATACATGTTGAACAAAATAGGCATAGAATCTGTAGAGTTGGAAATAATTAAATGGCCTAAAAGATAAGAAAGGAACAGAGAAACCCGAAGGTACACAACTAATATAGCAATACATGCCTAGACAGTTCTTCTCACCCTTTTCATCAACAATGCAATAGATGTTACAATAGGTAAAAGAATCTATGTAAACCTATATATGTATATACCTCCTTGAAAAGTGTGTATATATATACACACCATTACATCTATCAGTCCTTCAGCCTCTCCTAAAAATATACATCTAGCCTACAACACTGACACTGTTAGAAAAATCTGATGTTAAGGATATAATCTTTTTAATATTTTGCTGAAAATGTTTAAAAATGTGTTTCACTAAAAAGAAACAGCTATTAACACCCTTAATCTCAAAATTTTCCTGTTTTTTTTTTTTTCAGGTTACACAGGACCAGAAGTTATGTAAAACAGCTGGACTAAAATACAACATTCTGTTCAGAAGACTGAATGGCCTGCAGCACAGTTCCAGTGTATTCTGATGGTATGTCTAAACAAAGATGCTATTTTACAATGACAACTACTGTACCATGACATTGCTACGCTAGCTGTAATTTTACTAGCACAGATAACAGCAGTGAAGGTATGCCAGTACCGGTTGCATGCAAGTAGTCTAACAAGAAAACCTTCAGCTTGAAATCATATTGATTTCTGCCCAGGTTACTAATCTCTATTGACATTGTTGTTATTCATTTTTAGCTAGCTTAAAGTCAGGCACACTTTCATTTTGCAGCTGATATGTTCTATAATTTATAAGCCTTGTTAATTATGTTCGGAATTCTTCTTAAAAAGTTGGTTTCACTTTTCTCTGCTGATACTGTTCTAAGACCTGTCTTTCAACTGTAAAGATTCCGTTAAGAGAAAAATCACTATCCCATGTCATTTCAAACTCAGCTTTTCACTTCAGTATGATAAATTGACTATCTTTCCTTCGTTCTCCGATTCTATGATTAATACATTACAATAGTCAAGTAATAAACAGAAATCTCTACCATGTTCTGATCCAAGTCAGACTAGCCACTTACGTGGATACAGTCTCAAACATGAAGTCAATTTCCAGCCTGAAGTATAAAACACATCTGTTGCCTGCCCCATCTGTGGCTGAGGTATATTTTGAGTGTATCATCAGCTAGGTATGTTCTGAAGACCCTTATCAGCAGGGGCTGCAAAGAGGCAACAGCATCACTTCACTCAATAGGAACAGAGTGCTGCTCAGAGGGTTTCTCCAAAAATCATTTCAGATACATTGAAACGTGAATTAGCAGTCAGAGTTGGCACTATAAAGTTTAATTTCAGTGTTCTGATTCAGTTTTGCCAATCGCTGGCACAAAAGCATTTCATGTTAGAACTGTTTTTCATTTTGAACTGCCAAGATAAAACACTTGAACTTCAGAATATCACAGAGAAGACATTTATTTTTATTCCCAAATCTGTGATATCTTTAGCATGAAATGAAGTTAGCCAATCAACATACAAGTGTGACATTTTGGTGGGTGTTTAGGAATCTCACTGTACTTATCATATGTACACTATTTTTTAATTTCTTTGGTCACCTGTTTCAATTAGATGAAAAATGTGTTTTTACAGTACAAACTAAGTGTTTTTCCAGTAGTGTTCCAGTTGTCCACATTATTACAAATATGATTAAGAATAAACACATTTATGATATACTTGAACCCAGTTAACTAGCTTTTATAGAATTCTTATCACTTATGTTACCTGATTTTTTTTCCCCCCAATATCTCTGCAGCTATTATTTTAAATAGCTCACAGAATTAAAAATAGGCCATTTCACCTGGTCTATAAATTGACTGTTTCCCTTTAATTACTTCAGAGCTGTATGTTAGAATCTTATCTTTCAAATTTTTCCTTTAGTAGTTATTTGATTTCTGTTCTGCAGTTCCATGCACAGGTGGGGCACTTCAGCTGATTGCATACAGTCTACATGGAGTGAACCCCCCCCCCATATATCTTCTTCAAAACAAAGCCTCAGGCAACCCTGTTGCCAGGTCTCAAGACCAGGCACGCAGCAAGAGGAGCTGGCTGCCAGGGGTCAGTCTGTCACTTGTGCTGATCCAAAAGCAGAGGTGCTGCTGAGAGGGTAGGGGGGGCTGCCATAGCCATTAATCCCAGTGAACCCCCCCACCCCTCATTTTAATTCCTTAACTGTCCCAGCC